TTTTATGGGGAAGACACAAAAATGTGTATATTCAATACGCTACACAAGTTTAAGCCAAGTTTGGAAATACCCATTCTTTGCCACTTGGTGGCACTAACATTTTCAGGAAAATAAATCGTACTGGTTTGGTATCTCCAAGCTAATTTTCTCCAAAAATACATGTTCAGAAACAAAAAGTGTTTGTGATGATCAGGAAGAAGCTTTCTTTCACAGCAAACTGAATCCAGAACATCCATAGATATAAATTTCATGTACACATTATATAAAATTGAAATAATACCATGTTTTTAATACCACAATCAGTGAGGACCTCAGAATATGCAATGTATTAGAATATGCATATATATTGTTACGTACAATATAAACAAATTCTTTTAGTTTGATATTCATTTTAGATTTATTTTAGAAGTCAGATCCTCACTATCTGATCTCTATATTAAAAGAATTTAAATTATGTAAGTTAAGTATGTAATGCTACTTTTAAAAAGGTGTACTGTTTAATACACTACTATGAGTTAAGCCATGGAAACTTAAAGTACTTAATCCGTTACAATTAAGTTTATAATTACAATCAAATGAAGCACTGTTCATTAACAGACTTTCAAATAGAAATTTCTTTTAACAATTAGCAACAGTTTCCATCCACAGACAAATAACCACGGTGGGAATGCAGTGGAAACTATCCGAAAAGAGCAGTGATGCACCTCCTGTCACACTGAGATGTGCTATTTTGCCAAACAGGAGCCAACTATGTGCTGATCCTGCTGTAGTGCTACAGTGTCTGCAAATGATCGTATGAATAGCCCGTTTTTCCAATTCCCATATTATGCATAACTTCACAGCTGGGAAAAAGAGACAACAAATCTGAAAAGGAGACTAGAAAAAGGCCAATCGCACTGTTGCTCTTTCAAATTTTTCAGTCTTTATTCTCTTTGTTTTCTATGTTGGATAGTTTCTATTGCTATTCTACTTTTCAACTTTACTAACTTTTTTTCCTGCAGAGTCTTAACTGCTATTTATTAAGTATCTTTTCCATAACAGACAATGAAATTCACATTATTATAAGCCTCAATTTACGTTTCAGTGTGTCTATTTAACATGTCTGATCTTTACTCCTGAACCTATGAACTACAGCTCTAATGATTCTCACATTTATATGGAAACGTGTTTACTAAATGGTGCTCATTAAGAGTCAGTTATGCACCTTGTGCTTTGAGCCAAGACAGAATAACAGAATAGATTTACCCTCCTTCCTGAAACAACTAAAATGAAAGACAAAATAAATAAAATAATAGTTTGTAAGACACTGGACATCAAAAAACAATCAAAAAATCAGTGATCTTGAAGAGACAGGCAACTCCAAGTAAACATCTTTCCATGAAATGTAGGATTCCCTTCCTAATGTGCTTAAATTTTGCGCATAATATGTAACACATTAACTATATCCACATCCATCATATGTGTGTATGTCTGTCTCTCTCTGTTAAGAATTTAAGGTCCATAAGATCAGAGACTATTTTGACTACTTTATTTTATTGTATCATTTTTAGTACCTAGATCATACCCAGCATATAGGAGACATTCTAATATTTGTTGAAAGAATGAATTTACAAACATTAGTTTCTAAATCAATGACCAATATTCATCTGAATGTGTCAAAATTTAACTGTCTTCCATTTCTAGGCATTTTGGTTGTTTCAGTTGTTATTATAGACCATGATCAATAATTTACAGCCAAATCTGTGTTCACATTCTAATTTCCCTAAAAAAAACTTTGAAAAGTGGAAATGTTTGGTGAAAGTACATGTAAACTTTGAAGGTTTTTGAAATGTTTTCTATAAGTGCTCTCTATTAAGTTGAACCTATTTAAATTATGATCAGTACTGTGTGAAAGTGTCTTTCTTGGGAGATTTTGATTTCTACTCTAACTAATCTTCCTCTTCGAGTACTTAGAAGAATCAGAGATAACAAAGCAATCACCTTCTACCTTTAATGATGTGGATGCCTGCTAAGCCATTGAGAGCACAAACTAGTTGCCGATGTGCTTCTTCACATTCAGTTCCACATTTCTTCTGCAGAGATGTCAGCAGCTCTTCCATTGTCATGGTGCTTAAAGAAAATGCAGATTGTTCAGAACTAGAAAGAAAATCCTAAGTGAGAGCATTACAATACATAAGATCAAGAGTACCAGACTCTTAAAGAGCCTTTGTGACAGCTTCAGCATCCTTCTGTTTACCTCTATTTTTGCCACCATCACTTTCAACTTAATTACCTCTTACTATTCTGAAAATAGTATGGGTACAAGGATCTAAGACTGAGACTGAATCCCAGCATTAAGCTTAATTAACCTGTATGAGCCTGATTCTTCTTTTAATATGTAAAAAAAAATGAAGATTCTCCAAGGATTAGAAGAAACGCCTTTTCTACCAGAAGGCAGTCTAACATTAACCACTTCATGTTGAAATTTCTGCCATACTCAAACTGTGCACAGCAATTCATATACACCTCTTGTGAAATATATCATGTTTGCTATTTATTATACAGATCCATAGTCTTTGTCATGCCTTTTATTTGTCTATGAACAGCTTAAAGGCAAGGAAAAAAGTCAAATTCCTCTTTATATTTCTTATAGCACTTGAAAGGGTTCTCTTTTTAAAATCAGGTGTTGGAAAAAACTGCCAGTTCTTGAGTCACAGTCTGATGAACAAAAAAAACTTTTGGGACAATAGATTATTGTGGGCATAAATATCTTAATGTATTAGAAAGGAACAATCAAAGAATATAGTTAGCACAATTATAAAGAAAATATTTAATGGTACTCTCATTCATTTAATTCTGTAATGTGGGAACCAAAAAATATAATAAGAAAAGAACAAAAGGCTTTCATATCTGGAGTATAGCAAAAAACAAAACAAAACCCAACAATAGTCCTAATTTTAAAAGAAATGTTCAAAACCATGAAAATAATTTTGATGATGTGATTCTCTTTCACAAATGGTGTTCCACGCCAAAGAAAAACCACTCCACTAAAAATAGCTGATAACTCAGAGATACTAAGTGAAACTGTGAGCTAGGAAGCTAACTGCTTAAATATTGTCTATTATTTCTATATTACCAATTGCAGTATAAGGAAAGTAATAATAAAACCTTTTCTGGAGTGGCAAGAATTCCCCACGAACAGCCTGTGGGTGGCAGCAGGCCTGCCTGAGCCTTAGCAATGGATACAGGATGGAGGTGACAGTCCTTCTGTCCAGGCTGCTGAGCTTCAGGGCCCAGTCAGAAATCTTCCTGAGTTTTACCACCGCATCCTGGCAGCACACTTCGTGCTGACGGTGATAGAAATGTCTTTCCACTGGAGAAAAGTGGAGCCAGTGGATTTCTTCTGTTTGAGGAGGTATCTGGATCTGTACAGAGGAGGAAAAAAATTACTTCACCTGGAAATTTAACTTTCCATTCCAACTTTTTTTTTCCCCCTCTAATACCCTTAATCAGCAAAAACTTAAGCTACTGACTTGGTCAATCACATCTTTCTTTGCAGACCTCCACAGAATCTTGGCAATAAAGCTGTAGAGGAGCTGAGGATTCTTCTTGCAGTAAGGACGATAGAGAAGCCGAACCCACCAGTGTTTGACACAGTAAGGTTCAATGCCAAGAAAGACCACTAACCCAAAAAGATCTGAAACAAAAGAAAAAAGCACAATGAGAAAACAGATGGTCCCTGACTTATGATGATGTAAAAACGGCATTCATTGGAAACCATACTCCAAATTTTGAATTTTGATCTTTTCCCAGGCTAGTGATAAACGGTACAAACTCTCCTGAGATGCTGGGCAGCGAGTCACAGCTTCCAGTCAGCCATGCAATCACAAGGGTAAACAACCGATACATAAACACCCATCCTGCACTCAGACAACCATTCTGTTTATCACTTTCAATACAGTATTCAGTAAGTTACATAAGATATTCAACACCATATTATAAATAGGCTTTTTTTCTTTATCTTTTCTGTTTCCTCATATAGAGAATTCTTCCTTTCTTCTTTACTTGGTTCAGGTAATGTTTTAGATCTTGATTTAGCTGTCACTTTCCTCTGTGTTCCTATTGTGTGATGTCACAGAACAAGACATCTTTTTTTTCAAATCTATTTTAGTTAAAATTTTATATTTATTTCATATGTGAAAGTTATCTTGATCGCAATCTTATGTTTGTTTTAAGTATTCAATACACATATCTCTCCCTCTAAGCTATAAGCTTAATAATGCCAGGGACCTTATCTATCTTTTGCTATTATACCTCACAAAGGAAAAATGAGACAGTAAATGCACCAAAAATTGCTTCAGTTGTTTAAAGTCAACACTTTTAAAGAAACTAAAATAAATAGATGAATGCATAAATAGAATATAAAAACAAAAGCATCAGTGGCAGTAGCTACCATTTATTGAATATTTAGTATCTGCCAGGTACTATGCTAAATGCTTTGCAAGCTTTATTACAATTAACTTTAAAACACCTTATTTTACAAATACAAACAATAAGGATTTGAATGATTAAGTAATTTGTTTATGGACATACAACTAATAAGTCAGGATGTAAACCCAGGTTCATATACCCCCCCAAAGCCAATGCTCTGTGTACTACATAAATAAGTATATTATAGACATGGGGTTGGAGGGTGAGAGGAGAGGGCAGTGCCCTTTTGCCTATTTGACTCTCCAAGTAGACTGGCATTATTTCATCTTGTCTCTAGAAACATACTAAAGGCCTGGCAAATCATGTAATGAAAACATCCTAGCCTCATCTCTTTGTTTAATATGTGGCCAATTTAGGATTCAACAATCTCTTGGTTGTAGCTAATTAATAAATCGTCAAATCTGACTCATCTCTATCAGTTTAGCATAGCAGTTCTCAACTGAGGTGGAGGTGGAGGGGTGAGATTTTTGCCCACAGGGGACATTTGGCAATGTCTGAAGACATTTGTGGGTGTCACAACTGCAGGAATGTTACTGTCATCTAGTGGGAAAAAGCTAAGTAACCAAAATGCACAGGACAGCTCCCAACAAAAATGGCCCTAAATGTCAACGGGGCTAACTCCAGATACAGCATAGTAAGTCACATTAGGCTAAAATTCCCACTCCAACAACCACAAAAAGAACAGATACATTATAAGAGTTACTAGTGTTAAAGGCATCAGAGGATTATGGAAACAAAGATGAAAGATAAACTAAATTTCCAGACAGTCTGGAAAGGCTTGTTTTTTTTCAAAGGTAATTTGGGCATGAGAAAACTTCTGGGGTGATTATCTTGATTGTGGAAATAAACTCACAAGTGTACACATATATCAAAAGTTTACGAATTTTACATTTTAAACGTTTATAGCTTCACTATATGTCATTTATACCTCAATAAAGGTGTTTAAAAAATTAATAAAAAATTTGTTGAATGGTCAGTGCTCAAAACACCTGTCAACGTCTTATTTATCCAAATTAAACTACCCAGGGAACTGAGGAATTAATGCTCATATTCTTCTATCATTAAAATTAGAAAAAAGTAAATTTGACAGTCCTTTTCCTTTTTCTATACCTTTTCAGCTAACTTTTGAGCTGAATGAGATCTCATTAACACCTAAATATCAACAAACTGGGCAGGTTCCAAGTGTGACATCACACCACTAAATTTGGTCTTTTAATTAGCCTATTACTCTATAAATATGTATCTTAATGTAACTTACTAAAATTATACAAGTAGTTAAACATATACTTAACAGCTTCCTAAAAATCCCTTTTTCCTCTAAAAATAATTATTAAAAATATATTTTTCAGGTCAGAGTAATGGATATTGATATTTTTGTTTTAGCAAAATAGCTTATTCTTACTCTGCTAAAACAAAAAATATATGAAAACTTGAATTTTCAGAAGGGTAAGTTTTGAGAATGGGTATTTGCCACAGGACTCCAAGAATATATTTTATAATTTAACTACATTTTAATGACAACTTTTCAGGAAATTTATTATGTAAAACTACATTTACTTAAACTTTTAGTTTTCTATTCACAACTTAAAATGGAATTTTTTAAAATGCAGTGTTATGTTCTTTGTTAGTAAGTTTATGAATGAGATTAACATGGAAGCTTGAACTATAAATGTGTGGTTGGGAGGGAGGAGATGACTAGACATAATCATAGTGTTCAAAAAGAGAAATGGTTAAAGGAATAATGGTTTAAGCACATGATGTGGTATTATAAAGCTATTAATATTTTATAACTTTTACAATTAGTAAAATTATAGTCCTACTATTTATAGATCCAGTCATTGAAAATCATGGTCCTACTTTTATAGACATAGCCAAGTGAAATTAATTCCCTTTTCCTCTCTCTCTCTTTTTCTTGTTGGGTTCTTCATGTTTTCTGCCCACCATTTCGGAACTCTTGAGTTCAATTCAGGCCTATGCCTACTTCTTTAAGCAGGCACAGTTACTGTTCAAATTAAGACAGTGGGACTATTCGCTATATATCTGTCCTCATATATACAAACAAAAATCACTTGATTCCATGTAAAAAGGTTAAATGTTTGAAAGCATTAGGAGTTGAATACAAATACATGTATAATCACTTAAAAACGGATTTCAGCAAAAGCTAAACATAATGATACTTTTTGTTAAAAAAAAAATCAAGCTTTTCAAATATATGCAATATGTGAGGAAACCATGCAATACCCTCCAATCCTCTTTGTACTGGAGTGCCACTGATGCACCAGCGGTTAATCCCACTCAAGCGCTGAGCCATTTCTGCAGCCTGATGGGAGAAAGATACGAAATAAAACAGAAAAGAAAAAAAGGAAGAAAAATGCATAAGTCAGCAATATGTTTTCTGAAAACAGCCCACAAAAAGCTATGCTTCAGGTCAGATGCATTTGCTCTCACTGAACAGTTATCACACCCAATATTGAACATCATATTCAATGGGTTATCTTCTAGTACAGTGGTTCTCATTATCAGGAGGCTGCCATGTGTCCCTCCAAAGAGGCAAAGTAGTTCCAGCATGTATAGAATGAAAAGGCTCCCTGACTGACTGATACATCCCCAAGACCACCCATCCTCCAGATGGACCATTGTGCTAATTAAAATACAATTTTAAAATTCAGTTCAGGTTACAGACAGGCCAAAGAAGACAGAATAAAGACATCAGACAAACAGTCTGAATAAAAATTCTATCCTCTAAAGTAGTATTTTTCTATCACTATTTGGTCTCTCTGATAAAAGGCCAAAGTCATCAGAGCCTATACAATGAGCATTCTAAACAGCAGAAATGCTTATAAAAGTCCCCAAGTAGAGTTTATTTTGATCTGCATCACATATAAACTGCCATCTTATTCAAATATACATGAGCACTGCATACAGAGTAGTGATTCACAGAGTACCAAAATAATTCCTAAGGGTTATGTAGTTCATACACAGGAGAAATGCAAAAATAGTGTTTAAAGACAAACTTTTAGCCAATGTCAATGTTGTGGGTTAACTACACTTAAACTATTACGTTTTCTACAGAAAAACTTCCCCCAGTCCCTTTCCCTTGTCTCTTCCCCAGCCCTCAAAAGATTCTGCAGAAATTCTCACTTTTACAGCAGGACATTCAACCATCTGGGCTTCATCAAGGCAGATCCTCCACCACTCCACAGCTACTAGAGGGCTGGGAATGGCCATGTAGCGCTTCTGGTTCCTTAAGCGACGCCCATCCTCACTATTGCTGTGCGGGATATCTACATAGTTTAGCTCTGAACGAAGGACATCATAAGTAATGATAACTATATCCTGTTCTGCCAAAAAATGAGGCTGTAGAAAGCCATCTTTCTTTACTCCTTGATATACCTAGGAAATAATCAGCACAGACACAGTTGTTACAGCAAGGCACTTTAACAATAATCAAAATATTCATTCATTTATACCCTTACTGAGCTCTATTTGTTTAGAAAAAAACATACTATAAGATACATTCCATACCCATCTAGAGAGAGTCGCATTTTAGAGTGGAAGACTAATAACATACCCAGTGTGAAAGAAACTGTAACAGAAGTGAATGTGACTGCATCACAGAAGAAAAACAGTTCTATGGCTAAGAAAGTAAATTCAGAGAAATTCAAACTTGAGTAGATCTGGAAGTACATTTAGGAGTTATCACAGGTGGGAAAAAGGGAAAAAGGACTTGAAGGTAGGTAGGCAGATGGAATTAATAGCTCGTACAAAAGCACAGTGGTGTGAGGAAGTAGGACAGTAAGAACTATTTACTTGTTATTTATTATTATTCTGTAGGGTTTGCCTGCCCTACAGAACAGAGCTCCTCTACGACAAAGACGGTGTTTTATGCATTACTGTACCCTCCATGACTGTGACAGTGGCTGGAATATAGAAACTCCCCAGTAACATTTGTGTGGAAAGAAGGAAAGAAGAACAAAGTATAAAGAATACTAACATTAGTGAACAATAACATTAAATGACCACTTACTATGCGCCAGCACTTTATCACATCATTTAATCTTCACAAAGTCTAAGAGAGGATAACATTTTCAGAACTTAGCACAGTTCCTGGCACATAATAGGAGCCCAGTAAATTTCTGCTGAATAAGTAAATTCTTTTTTTTTTTTGAGTTACGTTTTATTTGGTGGACAGTTCTCAATTCTGAGGACTAAGCCCAGGATGACAGTCTCTCAGATCACTGAGGGAATGCTCCCTAAATGAGTAAATTCTTAATTTACAGATGGGATAGCTGAGGCTTCAGAGGAAGATTCCAGAGCTAAGAGCTGTAAGAGCATACAAGTAGCTACTATTGTACAATGCCGCCTTTGAACTGCATTTCTCTCTGAGATTATAAATGCTTATACAAAGACTTTTTCATTTATATGATCAGGAATTTTTTTCAAAAGCTTTCACATCTTTCCACTCAAAGTGCTTTAACTCCTTTTGTCAGAAAAGAATAAACAATCTACTGTTCTTTTTTTATTCTCAATTTCCTCTTCAAGTTCTACTTTAATGTTATTACCTCATTCAGTTAATTTTGGGGATAAAAAAACAAAGTGACAAAGATCATAACAATTATCAAAATTATCATGAAGCAAAAATGTACATTTTCCCATCCTTTTAAGGAGCCCAAACTGCCTTACCAAGACTCGCAGAGAGGAAGATCTCACATGCCTGTTGATTTCATCCACCCACTGATGACAAATGGAACTGGGGGAGATGATCAGAGTTGCTCTTGTTGATACTGGCTCCATCGCAACAAGGCAGTGGGGGCAGTAGAAAGGTTTAACTTTCAGATTCTTCTCTTCATAATTCACACATTTTGCATGTTGCCACAAGTGGCATTTCAGGCACTGAACGCGAGGCTTACGGTCTACCTGGTCAAGCTCACCACATATGCACTCAAAGCGGTAATCGGATAAGTCATAGGGACTCATGGTATTAGAATGTGGCATGTCACCACCAGCAGGATTTAGAGATTCAACTTGGTCCTTTGCTGTATGTTCTTGTTTGACTTCAAAGATACATGTACTTTCAGGTGTGGTAACATCAGTAATTCCAGAGTCACCAGTAGCTAGACAGTGATCTTGTGAGTTGAGATTGATGTTAAGCTGATTTTTTTCCTTCTTTGTGGATGGAACAGGCTTTTTCCTCAATTTATTACGACTTCTCCTGGTCTTATAGTAATAATAATAAGGATCATCATCATCATCAGAGGTGTTTGAGGGCAAGTATTCAGAATCCGTGTCCTTGCTCCCTGATTTTCTGGATTCTTTCTGAATTTTCCTTGGACTCCCCACTGCCTATGAAAAATATTATTTCAACAGAGTGATATATCTGAAATTAAATGCCCAACTTCATGTGCTCTACATAAAAATCTAAGAGCTAATCTTTGTTACCCTTCCTCTGAGGAGAACCACTCCTGATCAGTGGCTTTCAAACTGCCCTCTTTCAGAGCTCCCCTCCGTTTGGTCTGCAGGCCCAAAAGCAAAAGAAAGTTCTACTGCTGTATGATTAAGATTTGGAGTGAATAGATTAGGAAGATAAATTAGAAAGACAGAGGGAGCTACTAATCTTGGTATCAACCTCTTATAATTTACAGTCTGCCTAGATCAATAAAAGATTGGTAGTTTATAATACGTAAGTATACAAACTAGGGCAATTATAAAAATACCATGTATCAAAATAAAGCATTTAAATAAAGTAAAAATTAATCTACTAGTTACTGCAATTAGCAAATAAATTTCTTCTTTCTTTCTTCTTTCTACCTGTGTCCCCTCGTGCAATTATCTACTGAATGCCAATTCTACGCCAGGCAGCATGTTAGATGCTGGGGATACAAATATGAGGAATATTTAGCTCCTGGTCTCAAAGGGGTCTGTTGGAAAAGAGAGAACAGTAAAAAGTAAAATGATGCTATAGGAATGCATAAGAGGGGTGTATAACAGAAAGAGGCTGTGATGGGAGGTAGGTGCCAGGAATAGCTTCTTAGAAGTGATGTCACAGCCTAAGTTGAACAGAGGAGTGAATGACATTAACACGGAATGACTGGCATTAACTGAAGGAGATTTTCTTTTTTTTGGTAGCAGAAGAATTACTAAAAGCACAGAAGTTCATTGCAGTCTTCTACCCTAGCTGGGGAGAAAATGTTGGAGACTCCCTACTCCAGGAAGTGAGCTTTTTCACCTGCCATTTCTTTCACAGTAGCTAAGCTGGTAATGCCACACTCTGACTTATTGTCTTAGTCTTTTCTTGATTTATGTCTGCAAATTTGTAACTATTTTTTTAAAAAAGCAAATTGAAGTTATTGGCACAAAAGAAGCAGTTTTATAACAAAATATAAAGATTTTATAAGATAATGACATGGGAAAAATGAGAATCTATATAAAAGATTCAAACTGTATATAAAGAGCTATGCAAATGTAAGGTATCAGTATTTCTAAAGTATGGAATATGCTTTTTAACTGCTGACAACAGCATGAGAATAAGAGAAGTTGTTATAAACTATAATATGCTTAATGAACTAATTTTACAATTCATTCAGTAAATATTTACTGAGTACTTGATATGTGCCAAGTACTCTTCTCCAGGCTTAATGGTAACCAAATTAAGTTTCTACTCTGATGGAACTTACATTCAGGAAATAGAAAACATAAGTCACAGCTGTAAGTGCTTTTCCTAAATTTTTTTTTTAAATCAGACTGTAAGAGCTTCAGTGTCAAGGTCAACTTATTCTATTATCTGTCAACTTATTCTGTAAGTCATCACATACGGCTACTTAATAAATGCTGTTACCTGCTTTTTTGTTTTATCATACATATTCTCTTCCTTGTAATTCTTCCCCAATGTAAAAGTACCAGAAAAACCGTGGCCTTTGATCTGTTTCACAAGACCTTCAAAAATCAAACACTTCAGCATCCGTTTCAGAAGACTCCTGTTCCGCTGTACATCGTATCTATATATAGAACTGACATACTTATAGATGGAAAGAATGGAAACTCCTTTTTTCCCATTCATTTCTTTCACAGCTGTCAGGATCATCACACGTGTAGCTAAATGTAAAAGGACATGCTAACTCAGTCAATACAATAAAAAGAAAACAAAAATCAGTTATCTTAATGTGCACTGAGAACTAAGAAAAAAATAAATCAAAGATTTATTAAAGATATGCTGTCTGTGTACCATCATTTTGAAGAACTTACAATGAAAATTTATCTCAACACATTAAGAATAAATTACTGTAGTGGAAATAATTTAATGAAGAATTACACTGATATGCTAATCTTACAAATCAACTACCATTTAAAATCATATATTAAAAAACTCGCATTTATCTACATATATGCTACCATTAGTAAGAGAAACCTTCATTTGCTAGCAGAATTTGAAGTAGGTACACTTAAGAATAAACAAAGCCCGGTTTAAACTGTAAGCTAAAGAAATTTAATATAACAAATTAAGCAAAAAAACTACCTGGATCAAGTCAAATCAAAGAATAAATCTTTACTGCTGTTAAGATACATGCCTCATAATTGAACTCATTTATGCAAAGTATAAACAACTGTAAACACAATTATTCGTAACAATTACAAGGTATCTCTAGATAAGGACTACAAGAACTAGAACAAAGATCACTGTAAAAGGTTTATCTTCAAGAGATTTCATACTTACGGGGGCACTGAACTTTTTCTTTTGGTTCAAATTCCATATTCTGGGTTTCTGTGTTTTTTACATTTTCTCCAGAATAATGTGATGGAATGAAATAATTCACCACTTTTCCCTGATATAAACAACATTCAGTAGTCACACAGTGTTTTGCTTTCAGTATTCTGAGCTGCTTATTAAAATTAACCCTCCTTCTATTAAGGAGATGTAAAAAGAGTTGTAAAAAATTATGAAAGAAAGGGCTAAATATGCTAGTCATACATACAAACTTTATTTTTTATTTCAGGGTTTACAGCTAGCCATCACTTTTAAAAACTGTGCATATTATCTTAAATTACCTAAATTTTAAGTGTGGAATTTCTGAAATTAACTTTTTGAGTCTTGTTTAAAATAGTATTAACCCAATGAATTTGCAATAACAATCAAAATAACTTAAAATTAACCTATCTAATGAGTAGAAAATCCCAAAAGGAAGTTACTGATAGTTAAAACTCTACTCCAGTTAAAACAAACAAACAAACAAACAAATAATCCTCTACTCCAACTCATTTTTCTACAAAGGGAAGAGACATTCCCTACCTTATCCCCTAGTCAAATCTGAAAGGCTAATTTTGCAAGCTTTACCCTATCAAAAGATCACACAACCACTGAAGCTGTGAGCATGGTGGGCCCTACAGGTAATTATAGTTATGCCTTTAACTAGTGGCCTCATTTTGAGAGGATTTAATGTGTTGATATCAGATTCCATTATTGGAAAATATGAGCTACAAGCTATATTTGTCTCGATGGAGCTTTTTTTTTCCCCTTATAAACTCTAAAATTTGTATTTTTAAACACAATTATATACTTTGGAACAAGGACTTAGAAGTTTGTTTCATCTGGCAATCTAATTACTAAGCTATTTGTCCTTTAACAAAATCCTAATTATTTGACTCTAAGATTTACACATCTGAGACTCACATAATTTTTGAAAAATAGCTCTCAAAAATATTTAGTAGTAATAGTGAGATCTGTAGTAGTGACAAAACATTTGATGAAGTAACAGAATTTTCCTAAGGGAATTTTCTACCAAATAAAAGGAGAGAGTGTATTTCCTTCCTAGTTGACCAATATCACTTTAAAAAACCCTGCCAGGCCATGAACATCCCGTTTTCTGTCCCTACTTGAAGTTAACTAACAACTAATATAAATCATTAGCTGCAGAGTAAACTGAAAGTTGACATTAGTGCCAAGCAAATGCTCGACATATGACGCTCTTTGAGAACATATGTCCCCGCTCTCCCAAGCCCTACAGTACTCCTCCTACCTCAGGAAGAGTGAGAGCATCTTGTTTGACATCTTGTCGAGTATGCGTCAGAATCAGAGCCAAAACCTCCACTGTCTTCCCAAGACCCATCTCATCTGCTAAGATTCCACCAAGCAACTGTGGCCCAGCATTTGGGTACTGACGGATGATGCTAAAGGGAAAAACAAGAAAAATACATCGTAGGAATGCAAATAAAAATTATACTGTTCCTAAAGAGAACTGGAAGAAGTGCATAAAAGTCTAAGTTTTTTAAAACTGTATTTTAGGGTGCAATAATTATAATCCCTAGATCATGAATACAGGAACTGTGATAACCAAAAAACTGCCTGAGCTGACAACAAAAGCCTGCAGAAACAGAATTGGTACTGTCATCATTTTTTTCTCTTCTGTAAACAAAAGGAAGCATGTCTGCCTTCTTTCTGTGACCTTTATGAGCCTGTGAATAAAAAAATAAGAATGGCAAGAACTACTGACTCATTAACTATATTTAATGATTCCTAAAACTATTTTATAATAGAAATTAACAAATTTAATAAAAAAAACAAAAACTGGCCCATAATGACATTTTTACTTAAAATTATAACCTCTGTAAACATCAGCATCTTAAGTCTATTTTATTGCATTTATTCATTGAAAAATGACAAGTGTTATCAATTCCATGTCTACCCTTTTTATAAAAGTATCTTGAAAGACTTGTAACTCATTATTCCTTCTTGAGGCATTTCCAAGGCTGAAGACATATGCTACTAATCTCATATAGATGTTTTTGTAACATTTATTTTTAATATCAAGCCCATAAATAAAGTTTTGCCTTACCAGCCTGTATATGGATTGTAGTAGAGTTTCAAACCCTCAGATGTAACAACTTCTCGCCATAGAAAGTGCAGGGCATTTTCTAAAGAAAAATAAATCCGTAAGAACAAGTTTTGGTTTGTTTTCCTTTCTGCCAGATAACCACATTAAAATAAAAATAAGCTGGCAGTTAGGATACCCTGGGAAACCACATACACATGGGGAAGAGGCTACGCTCCCTTTCATCCTTTTCTTCAGGTATTATTCTTTGGCTTCCTTTGCTTTGGGCACAAATATAAACAAGTGATAAGATGGAAAAAGTACAGAAAATGACAGAGGATTAAGAGGAAAAGAAAACTAATACATATAACCAAGTCTTACCAAATAAAGGGAAGAAGCTTATCTTTTGTAAATCCTTCAAGAAGTTACCTGAAGTCTTTAAATACTGCAACAGATACCTGATACTGGGCTAATGCGTTAACTTAAATCAGACCTAACCTTTTATATGGGCCTAAGTGGGAGGAAAGGTTCAACTGAGGAAAGAATATCTAGAACTGTAACACTGAAGTACTGAATGTATTTCAACCAGAATCTTTCACTATCTTTCCCTTCATATTTTAAGTTGTTTAAATCAACTGCTAAGTTGGAAGTATGTTCTCTACCCACCATGAAACAGCAAGTCATTTTTTCTTTCCTTCTTTAGGGATTAAAAATGAAGTAGGAATACAGACATATATGTTTTAGAAAATGAAAAAAATTAAAAGATAAAGAGATTCAATTTATGCAAACCATAGGGAACAGAAAAATTATGAAATTACACATTAGATTTAATCAACAAATCCAGTCTGGACAAAAAAGAATGAATTACTGATACATGCAGCATGGATGAATCTCAAAGACATTATGTTGAAAGAAGCCAGCTCCCTCTACCTACTCCAAG